CACAAAAGCGTTTTTGTTGAGTTGATGTTATTTTTTCAAACAAAATATGATGACATCAATTTCTGTAATAAAATAAATGTGCGAAATTGTGAACTTTTTACTATCAATAATTTACAATTGTAAACTAGTTATTAACGGTGTTCGATGGGTGTTCACAATATTCAATAGTAATTGCTGTAAATTAAACATATTCAAAGGAGAATTTTGAATCGCGGTAAAACTACAGCAAACATACTATTAAAATGATTTGGTTCTACGAAACAATCCTTTTTTGGATTGCGTCAAATATTTTTAATTTTAATTATTTAAAAACAGTAAGTTAAGATAGTTTATTTATTTATAATAACATCTAGCACAGCTAGTTTATGTGGAATGCATGAATATAAACTTTAAGAATTATTTGTTTAATTTTGAATTCAAACCTTTTTTAGATTACAGAAATGTTATATAATTAAAAATTCGTTTGACAGAATTTCTACTTAGAGGCCATACTTTAATTACGCAACGCTTTTTCTTTGAAAATTTCATATGTTCGAATTTATACTTAAAAGCGCAAAAATTATAAAGAAATAGTTTGATAGCTTACCATAACACTACGATTGAAATATTTTTGAAAAAAGGTTCGTTGGTTTTGTTTGTTGGACTTTTGTCCCCGAGAGCTTTTTGAAAATATACACATATATCAGACTGCTTAATATTTAACAATTTATGAGACAGGTATAGTTTACAGTGTGATAAACAGACAGTGTACAATTTATTACAGAATGTTATGTTTTTAATACTTTAATTCAAAATAGCAGAACATAATTTTTCATAAAGCGTAAAGGCCAAAAAAGAATAAACTCGAAGAACTAGTTCGCAATCGTCATTTTTTTGTGAAAACTAAAGGCTTAAGCACAATTAGGCTGTATCAGTTCATCGAGATATTTCGAGTTCAAGATATGACGTCAGAGGCCTGAAGGGACAACAAACAGACGACACAATGGTATTCTTATGAGGAAGAAAATTTGTTTCCACTTTCATCAATTTTATTTATACTTTAAACATGGAAAACGCTTGTTGAAATATAATAAAATTAAAATGTGTGTTGATAATTAATTTTGTTATATATTTGATTCATTTGCATTGATAGATTCTCTGAATTCGTGATAAAATATAAATTTTGAGGTTAGGGGTGTTTGTTTACTAATCACATTTTACATTTTAACAACATTATTAAACAATATCCAGTATGCATGTTATTAAAAAGATATAAAATATATATCTTAAGTGGGAATTATCGCAGCAGTAAAAAATTTCGAGTTAGTAAACAAACACCGCTAACCTCAAAATTTATATTTTATCACGAATTAAGAGAATCTATAAATGCAATTGAATGAAATATATAACAAAATTAATTATCAACACACATTTTAATTTTATTATATGTCAACAAGCGTTTTCCATATTTAAAGTATGAATAAAGTTGATGAAAGTGCAAACTAATTTTCTTCCCCGTAAGAATAACATTGTGTCGTCTGTTTGTTGTCTCTCCAGGCCTCTGACGTCACACCTCGAATCGACTCTGACGTCACAAGTGACAGAGTCTAATTGAGTCAGATACGCAAGTCGGTTGCGGGAACTTACATATCCCGTATCCGACTTGCGTACCCGACTCAGTTGTGCTTAGGCCCTAATGGTGCGTCTCCAATACGAACCTACAAGCATTTTTAAACGTATGACGTCACCAATGCTACATCTTTACTGCTTGCAAGAGTTTTAAGTTTAATAGATCAAAAATGATCTATTTCTTTCTTGACAGTAATTTTAATAATCACCTGTATGAGAAAAATGTGTTTTAGTTTTAAAAACATTATTATTAACCCAAACAAAATTACCATCCTTACTAGATATTTTCTAAAGTTCCTAATATTGACGTTGAAAAGTCGTGTGCATGGTTCCTGAATTGAGTGGAATCGGGTCTCTCTGTAGCTCAATTGGTAGAGCATCTTACCGGCAATAAGAAGGTTCTGGGATCATACCCCAGCAGCGAGAGGCGATCCACTTTTTTCAGAAACCATGTACGAAAATATTTGTACGAGTTTCGTACATACAAATTTGACTGTTGGTCAATAAAATTTCTATATCAGATATGATTAGATTAATGAAATACTTAATAGAAGAAAACCTATTTACCATCGTAACTACAATATTAAAACCCAAACAAAATTACCATCCTTACTACATTATTATTCAATATTACCATAAAAATGAACTTGCCTTTAAGCATATGTTGTGACAGTCATGAATGTACTGTGATAATGAGACGTGCTTTAACTATAATGTTTTATTTACACTTTTAAATTATTGTATACAAATTATTTGTTTTTATGTCCTACGCGATATTCAATAAACATTGTATGTGACCGTTTTATACATCATTTTTCAAAATGATCCACATAACTGGTATCAATTTGATATCAATTATGGGCATCAAAACGTTGCATGGATTGAACCAATTTATGGTTTCATTTTGATACCCTCCAGAAAACACTATAGTGTTTCACAATTTTCTTTCGAGCTACTTCGCAAGCTTTTATTAAAATTTCGTTAACTTATCTATTGAAAATCTCGGTACAAGATCTGGTACAAGAAAATGTACATGTTCAACAGTTGAAATTGTACCTGTTCTGGTGAGAACATATACAAGATCTTGTACAATTTAGGCACCAGAATTTGGAACAATTTCTTGTATCAGAACTTGTACAAGGTCTTGCACAAAATTTTGTACAAGTTCATCTAAATTTTTTTTTTAAATTTGAGATTTTAATAATTTAGAATCATTAAAACCTTTACTTATGCATGCTACAATTATTGCGCAGCTGTAAAGTCATATGAAACTTACTGCGCACCTTTTAAAGTTTTTAATTTTTACTAAACAAAGACATAAATAAACCTGTACAAGAACATGTACATTTTCTTGTATACAAATATTAAATTTATTTAATTGTACAAAATCTTGTGCAAGATCTTGTACAAGAACTTGTTCCAAATTCTGGTGCCGAAATTGTACAAGACCTTGTGCATGTTCTCGCAAGAACAGGTACAAGTTCAGCTTCTGAACATGTACATTTTCTTGTACAAGATCTTGTACAGCGATTTTCAATAGGGTTTAGTTCTTTCCATTTTGTCATTTAAAGTACATAAACATGATATCTTCAATAATTACGGTTAGCGGTAATGTTGGATATACAGTCGAACCTGTATAAAAGAGAGTACAAGGGACTGGCAATTTTCTTTCTCTTAAAGAGGTTTCTCCCTTATTCAGTTTTTCATTTACAGAGGTCTGAGATCGATTTTTCTCACTTATAGAGGTTTATGAATTAATGTTTTTTTAAAATAATATAATATCTAATATTTGACTAAGAATGGTTTATTATTTTATTATTATTACGCCACATGTATTATTTATTTACGTTTGAGAAAACCGGTAATTTTTGTTTGTTTTCTTGTTTTAATATTTTCAATTTCCTTCTGAAGCGCATAAATTTTGTTAAAAAGAGAAAAATCTATATTTGACGAACTTTGAAGAAATCTATGTACTGTTTTCGTTGCTTTTACTGAGCGTACAACTACGATAATAATAGATAATTCTTATTTTTCACTTTAGAACAAGTAAGCGAGAAGTAAACAAATGCTAATGGATTGAAGGCCGATTATATTCAAATAAAATTTTGAAATATGTGTCGACAAGACTCTATTAGATACAATTACAAATACCAAATATTATTAATTTATTTAAACAAATATAAAAACTAGAAGGGGTAAAATTTGGACTTTTTTTACAAAAAAAATTTATAGGTCAAAAAGTAGGAAAAGCAGATTTTACTTGTCAAATTAAGCATTTACTTCTGCAATGCGCCATTCATGCGAGTCTTAGGGCTGTATTATGCTTACATTAAGTATTACGTATTACATAGTTCTTTGAAACTTTATTAATAATACAGCATTACGATGCGCATGGATTGGCGATTCAAACAGCTACACTAGCGCCACAGTTGAACTAATTTAGGCGTGACTCGCTCTAAAGCAGTCTCTGTTTTGACAGTTTATTTCAAATTATTTAATTATTCTGATATTTTTATTGCGTTTGTAAAATTATTTTTAAGCGTTAAATAAAAAAAAATAATTTAAAACACATGGAGTGCTACAGAGCGAGTCACGCCTAAATTAGTTCAACTGTGGCGCTAGTGTAGCTGTTTGAATCGCCAATAGCGCACTACAGAAGTAAATGCTCAATTCGACAAGTAAAATCTGCTTTTCCCATTTTTGACCTATAAATTTTTTTAGGAAAAAACCTGAACTTTATGAAAAAAATAAATAAAAAATGTCTATTTTATAGAAAGTGCAATTTTATTTTTTATTGGCATTTTTCAAATTCAAAAATTTTTCATTTTTGATAATTGTTTTTACAATTAAAAAGTGCGTAAAAAGAGCTACAAAATTCATATATTGCAAACATTTTTTCGTTTTGTTTTATAGGAACTATAAATTTTTTAAATATGCCATGCGAGACAAAAAGTCCAAAATTTGACCCCCTCTAGTTTTTATATTTGTTTAAATAAATTAATAATATTTGGTATTTGTAATTGTATCTAATAGGACTACAGTTTGAGCAAACTTTTAACGTGATCCCAGACAATTCAACTTTTGACCCCGATCACTTCACATGGAGTGCCACATGCATATGAATACATTTTGAATTTTTAAAAATGGGGTTTCTCTCAATCAACTTTTTGGGTGTCTTGATCCTAATTTTTTTCAAAATTTCCAATTTTTTTTTATCTTGAGCATATGGGTCTTAAAGTATACGTTTTAAGCAATAATTTAAGTCTATATAGAAAATGGTATCTCCTTTTGTTTAAAATATGTTCTATTCCGCAATACTTAATAGTAAATTTAATTAAATTCTTAAACCTTCAAATATTGTCTAAATTAAAATATTATCTTTTTTTTCTCAGAGTGCTCCATATTGCATGAGAAAAGATTCTAGTTTGACGCTTGTTGGAAATGCTCAGTTTGAAGGATATAGCGTGGATTTGATTCGAGATATATCCCGTATTTTAGGATTTAATTACACTATTCATCTTGTGCAAGATAATCGCTATGGCTCCTTAAACAAAGTGACGAAGGAATGGGATGGCATGATAAAAGAACTTTTGGAACAAAAAGCTGACTTAGCTATTGCTGATTTGACTATAACATATGATCGAGAACAAGCAGTTGACTTCACTATGCCATTCATGAATTTAGGTAAGTCATAATTCCACGGTTTTAATATTATATTGAATATTAAAATTCTTAAAATATCGAAGAGCTTTCGCCAGTCTGCTTCCAAAAAAACCAGAAGACCATAACCATAAGAGTTACTCGCAGTTTTAAAAAGTTACGCCACCCTGAACGCAAAAAAATTTTTACGATTTTAATGGAATTTTTTTACTAAACTGTTAAAGATATAACTTTTTCATTTACTAATGGCATAAAGTACATGTTTGATTTATAAATTTAATTTCTTTAATCTTAACCAATCAGATGCATTTTTCTACCTTCTTCTCCCAGAATTTTGAATTACTAATATCAACTAAGCGACATTTCCAATGTCAAGCTCGCGTTATCTTGAACATTGAAACCTGTCAATTACCTAAATAAATAACTTCTTTGTTAAATAAACAAGGCATGCCAACTTTACAATAACCTAAACTAAGTTTATGCAAAATTCCTTAAAAATTGAGCGCCAGTATTTCAACTGTACATGTGTTAAATGTAGGAAATTCTCAAAAACGCAATGAATATTAAATCGTTATTAATTCCAAAATTCAAAAAACAAATATTCACATTTTTTCGACAAGGATTGGTGCTATTGTGACGCTAATCACGAAAAATAATGTCACAACTCGCCTCAACCCAAAAAGATTACTGAAGATAAAAAAGTATTATAAGTTACTTTATTTCTCTAAAATCGGGACACTAACTAAACTGAACTTTTAAAAAAATATAAAATACCTGAACATTTCTCATAAACTATTAACAATAATTATTACACAAACTGCGCTCCCGATACCAAGCTAGTGCTCTGGAGATAAAAATCGTTATTCTCACAAACATAAAAAACGATATTTCGAAAAACCTAATGACAACTACAATAAGATCAACAAAATGAAAACTCTGTAAACCAATGCTACAAGTCTAGCGACTTTCGGGAGAAAGCAGGCAACTCGCTATCATAGTTGGAGATAGGCCGCTAGACGGAGGGAGGGGGGTACCAGTCCTATTGATCCCACCCAATTCTTTTCCTTTTCTGTCATTAATAGTATTGGTGCTCCTGTCAAAGGTCATTTCCCTGGTACCAGTCACTCTAAGGTTGTAACGTAGCCAGTGGGAGTGTTCTAGAGTGGGATGTAGGTGTCCTGCCCTCAAACCAGAGCCTCCTAAAAATCAGGAACCTTTATACGGTGGTCCTTAACACACTTTAACCCAAAAGTTCTTTTACTGTAAATTTATTTTCATACCTTGAATCGGAACACTTTCCTGAGTATTTTGCAAAAAAATTTTAAATCTTTCATAGAGCTGTTTTTGAGAAAATCGATTTTTTAGGTTAAAAAATTCAATTTTTCGTTTTCTTTGAGAAACATTATGCAATATACCGGTAAAAATTTACATAAAACCTAACTTCATAAAGAATAAGTATTTTCAAACTGTCTTGATATATTTTACATGGGATAGTAGTGGAATTGCTTTTTTTAATTATTAGTTCATGAATGAAATGAATGAATAAATATATTTACAGAAAGATGTAATTTCACATTTTACCGAAAATACGATATTTGTTAGAAGTCATTTCAACTTGTAATGATCGTATATTTTTAGCCCATAGGATTTGCTCGCCGGATGGAGCAAGAGTATTCCAATTAAGTATTTTACTAGATTTTAAAGAAATCAAAACATTATTTTATTTAGGAACCTTACTTTTACCTGTGATTTTGATAGGAGAGGAAAAGTCAATTATAAAACATTATTTGAAACTTCGAAAGAAACTTGTTTTGTAATAATAAAATAAAGCAATACAAAAGTAAAAAAAGTACAAATAAAGTTATCGTAGTTTTCGTTTTTAAACTGTCGGTGCAGATCAAACAAAAAAATATAACAGAATCTAGAATTTAAAATGTGAAATAAAATTAACAATTTTTTGTTAATTTTTTTAGGCCTAGTCTAGTTTGAAAATAATTCAATTCCCTTTTGCCTTATTTTTCCGACTATTCTCCGAAGCTATTCTAGAAATTTACTTCCGGATTTACGTCGTCGAACGAATCTAGATTTTGTGCACACTATAGATTGATCAAGGATCAATCAGAGGAGTAGTCATCATGAGGCTACCTGATGTTCATGCCCGACGCGAAATACTGAGAATAATGTTACCACAAGAACTCACCTCCATCCAGGAAATATCCTGAGATAAAGGATCAATCTTGTGGTTCAGATGAAACAGGAGATACCTGCACTCATCCGGAATCGAGTCGCAAGGAAAGGAATATGAAAGATGATTTCGTAACAAATCTACCTATAGATGAGTCTGAGAAGGCGAGGATGATTGGCACTAGGTTTCCAAGATGTTCACTAGACACAGAAGTACTTATAGTCTAGTGTACGATCTTCTATAGGAACCTATATACTGAGAGAAATACCTCTACAATATACAGTCTAAGAAAGGTGGTTCTCTGGTACAGAGAAGTTTACTGCACACAGAAGTACCTATAGTCCAGTGTACGCCCTCTTATGTATACTTGTATACAAAGAGAAGTACGTCTACTGAAAATAGGGTATTCCAGGCGTGAGGCCGCATCCACTAGCTCCGAAAAGTGCCTCGAGAACAAGCGGAGAACCTTCTGACAAATAACTCTGAGCTAGCGAGGTATAATCACTCGCCGAGGACAAGTGGGTGGGCGACATGTGGTAGGAGAAGAGATGTGTGGTAATAGAAGCTGATTGTCGTCAGAGTTGCCAGTAAAACTTGAAACTCAGGCGCCACCTGGCGTAAAAAAATCGCCAAAAGTCGCCAAAATTTGAATGTCTATAAGAATATAATAAAAAAAATTGTAATAACATAAACTAAAAATTTGATGCATTAAATCATTTGTTTAATTTGTTATTTAATTATTACATAATAATAAATAATTTTTTTAAATGTGTAAATATACAAATATTTTAAAATTATTAATTACAATCATTTTTATATTTAATTTTGGAAATAGAAATATATGGACTGTAAATTTAGATATTTGGAATTTAACTTACATATGAAATTGTTTTAAACAAGGAGTTAATTATTATAAAATAGAATTTATATTTTTAAATTTTTAAACAGTCTTTATAATTAATCGTTTTAAACGCAACGAGGGAACAGAAGTTATTATATATTTTAAAAACGTTTCGTAATATTTTTTTCTGTACAAAACAGAGCTTAACATCCAATAAAACATTTTTGGACTAGATGTATACTTATATACATATTATCTAGGTACGATCTTTCTAAAAATTAAAATTCGGGAATCGAGATGGTTGCATGCTCAATTTCATCGAGCAATTCGAAGATTTCGTTATTGATGGGCCCTTCATCGTTATTATTTTTGACAGCATAGACCACTTTATAATTAAATTTCTCAAGCATTTTCTTAGTAGGCGAAAATTCAGAGCAACAAGTCTTCGTGGCGTGAAATCTACATCTAACACGTAGTAAAGAATCTAACATTGGAACACCCATTTTATTTCTCAACTTACTTTTTACTGAATTCATCACCAAAAATACTCTTTCAACTACAGCATTGGTAGATGGAAGCGACAATAATGTCAGAGCATACGAAGCTAGATCTCGAAAAATGGATGTGCCAGCGGCATCTTCAAAAGAATAAACTTTTGGCCAAAATGTTTGAGCTTTCGTCAAAAGTGATTTATCCAAATGATTGCTCCATTGAATAGTTACAAGCTTGTTCCACTGATTTTCCACGAGGCCGAGTTTGTTTTTGTCAATGAATGTATCTATTAATGGTAGATCTTTAAATCGCGGTCGAGTTTGACTCAAACAAACATTTGGTGAAAAAGCTTTAAGACCTTCAAAAAGTTGTAAATTTTCGGGTAATCGCTCTCCCATTTCGTGAAATAAACGTTTTAGAAATGTTAATGCTCGATTTTCCAGGTCAATTTTTTGCTCAATTGAAATGGTGCACCTCCCTAAACCTTGATAATATTCAATTCCAAAATCTACTTGATCGCGATTCAAAAATGCTAACTCGTTATCATGAACAGCAAGTAAATCTTTGATTTCGCGATTTAGAAATGTCGGTTTTACAATTTTTCTCGCTATGAATAAGACTAACGCATGGAGATCTTCGACAGCACGTCCCAAATCGACATTGTCAGCTTGAAAAATCTTGTTCAAACGATTCACTTCATACAAAATAGGCCTTAGAAAAACTAAATACAGGAAATTTAAATCATCGTGCAACATTTGGGCAAGCAAGCGAGCAGTGTAACACTTTTCTTTTTCAACGACTGTGCGAAAATATGTCTGCAGTTCAAACCAGTGCTCGAGAAGGTTGTTGACAACAAAATATTGAACCAACCACCGAGTGTCTGATAATTTCACAAACTCGTGAAAAGGATTTGGTTTGCCATTTTCATCAAAATTCGTATTCTAGAGTTCATACGTTCTTCGATATTCGATTTTACGAAGAGAAGAATGAGAAAACCATTTGTAAACTTCTCTACACAAAAAATCAATGTTAGCTGGAAATTCGGTGGCTGATTTCGAGGCTACGTTGTCAATTGCATGATTAATGCATTTCAGCAGTTGCACTCTATTATATTTTTTTTTCAATAACGCATACAACGAATGATTTTTGCCGCAAAGGTTTGAACCGCCATCTGTGCCAATACCGACCAGGTTTTCTAATTTTAATTTTATATCATCGCAGTAATCTACTACAGCGTTGTACAATGCATCAGCAGTTGCTCTTTCTAAAACAATAATTCCTAAATAATCTGTGATGATCCTGCCTATTTTTTCACTGAAATATTTCACGCATAAACATAAATATTTAAATGTGGACACATCGGTTGACTCATCTACAATCAGTGAAAATGACTTGTCGCCAATATCGTCAATTAAATCTATCAGCATGCAAGGTGAAATTACATTTTTTATCAAGTTACCGCACTTGGTCCGATGCATTTTAAAATTATCAAACAATGTATTTTTGCCTAAATGCACCAAGAGATCGCAAAGGTGATCAACACTATTTATCGAAGTGTGAGTTGCTATGAACGCAGAAATTTTCAAATCTCTAACTTTGTCGAATTCACTGAAGGTGACCTGGACTGTCGATGACAGTTTACTCTGTTTTCCTTCTGTAATGCTCGCCATTTTACGGACATGAGTTACTGATTTCGTATGTTTTTCCAAGTCCGCTCGATGCGCTCTCAAATCTTTTTCGCATATTTTGCAGTAAGCTTCATTGTAAAATTTTTCGTCTGCTTTGGTTAACCAGCCTGTAAAAAAACCTAATTTTATAAATTCCAAAAAGCAGAATGACGAAACACTAAGAATAATAACATTAACCTAAAAATATGTATATTAACTAAATGTATAATCCTCTACTTCACTGTTTGGTCCCACGTTCGAATTATTTTGTTCTATATTAACAAAGACTAATCTCTGGATATCAATAATAAAATCAAACAAACCTTTTGCCCAAGGCATGGATTCCCAGTCCTTTCTATAAGTCCGAAGTTTTTCCGCGACTTTTCCCATTTTTCTAAATTTATTCTTCAGTTTTCTTGAACACAACAAATAAATGTTTATTTTGGTAAATCTAAACTGTTTATTATTTTAGTCGCAAATTATTAACAAATACACTTACCATTACAAAAGTTTTCAAATTTAAAATCGTGAATTTTCCTCCGCTGTGTAAACTTTAGAATTCTGTAACAATTCAGTGACTGCAAAAAATGTACGAGGTGATAAAATTTACTTCTGCTGTAGTTAGATGCACAAGACAGGTTAGACATGAAACGCTTTCAACATTAGGGTTCTAACTCCTTCTTCACTGTGGATGACGCAGACAGGCAAATCATTATAAAGGTGTGACCATAAGTCGCCGGCAGTCAGGCTACATAAGAATGCCAGGCTTATGTCAAGAAATTTGATTGGCTCTGCTTGCACGAAATTCCAAACTACAGCCAATCAAAATGCTAAACAAATGTGTGGAAAAAGGAATAAAAGTAGATAATATTTCTTTTTATGGCCTGTCGCCACAATAGCCAACTGGAATTTAAAAATCGCCAAAAAAATCGCCACTCGCCAACCTGAAAATCAGTCGCCTTTTACAAAAAAAAATCGCCAGTTTGGCGCCAAATCGCCAATACTGGCAACTCTGATTGTCGTTATCTCTATACTAACTAACGACTCCATTCATGAACTAACAATTAAAAAAACAATATCACTATTATCCCAAGTAAAAAATATCAGGACAGCTTGAATAAAACTTATTCTTTATAAAGTTAGGTTTTATGTGAATTTTTACTAGGAGATTACATAATGTTTCTTAAAGAAAACGAAAAATTGAATGTTTTAACCTAAAAAATAGATTTTCTCAAAAACGGCTCGATCAAAGATTTAAAATTTTTTTGCAAAATACTAAGAAAAGTGTCCACATTCAAGATATGAAAGAAATTTTACAGTGAAAAAACTTTTGGGTTAAATTGTGTTAAGGACCACAGTGTTTAAGGTGAACTATAAGGACTATTGATGGAAGGGATTAATAGAGGGTCTCTTCTTTAATCTCTTCTCTCCACCTGGTAATGTCTTGTAGGGATTGTCTATGGGTGCTCCCATGATAATGCTTGAAAAGACTTTACTGTTTTACTTGATCCTGATAAGTTTGTTTCGTTAATTATAACGGAGTAAAAAAGTGAGAAGGTGAAATGTGCGAGGGACCTATTTCAAATAAAAGGACATCCAGATGAAGCTACAATTAGTGGGTTCTGCTGAAAATGAAGAGGTTAATTTGGAAAACGGACCTCTGTCGAATAAGAAGGACATACAAGAGATGCTACAATTAGTAGGTTCATAATGTTTGGTGAATCTAAGCTTTATTAAAAAGGAAGATTAAAATAACTGCAATGTAAAGTAACTGCAATATAAAATAGTTGTAATATGAAATAATTCCAATATAAATAAACTACAATACTGCCGTACGAAATAAAAACTTACTTAACTCATATTTTCGTGAAACCGAGAAAATGATGAAAGACTGTTTGTCTTAAAAAACCTAATATAATATAAATAATTCTTTAATCTAACTTCACTTTCTAGGTAAATAAATAGAGTTCTTTCTAAATCCGTTGTCAAAAATTGATTATTTAAACAAATTATATTAAATAATTGAGATAAGTGTTTTTTTACACAAGCAAAACTTAGTTAACTCGAGTTAAGGAGTGCTTTCCGAAAAGGTAGGCGAGTTCGAGCCGCCGCTCAGAAGTAAAAACTCACCTAACTCAAGCTAGCACGCGAGGTGGGGGAATAAATACACATTATAAAAAATTTGTTTTTGAGTTAAATTTTATTCTGATTGTGATTAACAAAGATTATTTTTATTATTTTTAATTTATATATTTTTTTATTATTTTATTATTTATTAATATTTTTTTAAAAATTAAATTTTAATCAACATGTTTCAGTATAAAATTTATTACAATTAAAAATGTGTAGAAGGATTGTATGAAAAAACGGCGTTATTAGTGGAAAAACATTGATTATATTTGCTTATAATATTCAAATAACTTACAACAGCTGTTTATAATTACTACAACAGTCTTTATATAATAATCAACAGTAAAAAACTATTAATTAAACTTTTTAAAAGTAAAAAAAATCAAAGAAAATTTTGTATTTTTTTCGTTTTTTTTTTCACTTATTCACTTATTTATTTTTTTCTAAAGTAAACTTTTTCTAAAAAGCCGGTGCATTATTTGCAAGAATAACAAACCGGCATGATCATAGCACGCGAGATTCCGAACCAACCCGACGAGAAACCGAAGTTAAACGATGTTGAGTTGAGGAGTTTGCTTTCGAAACACAGGGTCTAGCTCACGCCACTTTTCGAAATAAATACTCACTTAACTCGAGTTAAGGTTTTCGTTTCGAAACTATGCATGAAATTCGACTACGTTTTTGACAGCAAAAATACTCAACTCGAGTTGACTGAGTTTTTGTTTCTTATATCATGCTCGAGCTACGACTTTCGGACTCCTTAACTCGAGTTAGCATACTTTTTATGTAGTATTTCTTCATTTTCTGGGTTTTCGACAATTTTTTATAATTATTTTTTTGCAATAAATAATTAAATAAAAATTTTTTAATAATACCATCAGACGCGTTTTTTTATTACGAATCCATTGATACCAAAAACTCATTTTTCGCCAAAATATGAGTTAACTAAGTTTTTACTTCGTACGGCAGAATATAGGATAACCCTTCTTTTTCCTCCGTGAGTCCGTACAATTTTTTATTATTTGTGCTATGATTTTTAATCATTTCTCCCTCTTCCTCTAAGTATTCAATAAAAATATAGCTTAATATAACCCCATTGCCTTCCATAGGTTGCCGCAATTTAGGCACGTTCCCGCTGTGTAGCCGCGACATCTACACATTTGGCACAATAGGGCCAAATGACATTAGTTGTCTCAAAAACCCCTGCAGCCTACAATTTTTAACCGATTTCAATTTTTTTTTAATAATCTGTATATTTGGAAGAGTTCTCTGGAGCCGAATTTTTAAAAAAATTTGTTAAACATTTCAACGCTTTTCGTTCAAGGTTTTAAAAATTGTTTAAATTTGCTTAAAAATTGGTACTCGGGGGTTTTTGGGGTCGGTGATTACGAATCCGTTATTAGTTTTTTAAAATTCAAAATGGCGGATCCAATATGGGGGTCTTTTTTCAAAATTGATCATATTTGATTGAAACTGACTACTCGGGGATTTTTGCAATCGCTGATTACGAATTTGATGTTAGTTTTTTAAAATTTAAATAAAAGTATCTAATATGGCGGATGAATTATGATAAAAATATTGGTTTTTTTGAAAAAATATTGGATTTTCGTACAAATGAGTATCTTAGGGTTTTTGAGGTGGCTTATCAGCCATTTTTAATTTTTTAAAATAATAAGAATCTGATTTTAGATTAGTAATCCGCGGTCTCAAAAATCCTCAGAAACCCTTTTTTTCTAAAAGAAACCCCAAGAATACCTATTTTTTATGAAAAAAAAAATTGATTTTTTTTAAAAACGTCCGCCATACTGTATCTAACATTAAAATTTTAAAAAACTAACATCGGATTCATAATCAGCGACCCCGAAAACCCCCAAGTAATTAGTTTCAAGCAAATATGATCAATTTTGACAAAAAAGTCCGCAATATTGAATCCGCCATTTTGAATTTTGAAAAACTAACATCGAATTCGTAATCAGCGACCCCGAAAACCCACGAGTAAAGAGTTTCAAGCGAATCTGAACGACTTTTAAAGAAAAGTCCGACATATTGGATCCGAAAATATGTTAAAAATCCTACGCGGGATCCCACTATGATCCATTGCAGGATATTGGAACAGGGATCCAGTACAAAATCCTGTGCAGGAACATTAGTTACTAAGGTTACTTTGCAGATTCCTGTACAAGAAAATGTATAAAAATAATTTTATGCTATGTTTCCTACACAGGAACACTCGCATGATCCTGTAAAGGAAAATATTTCACTTTCTTTTTATGCTAAGCAACATTTGTAGGAACCATAAGAAAATTCCACATAGGATATAAGGTGGATTTTTTCAAAAATACAATAAAAAAATTTTAATTTTGTGATGAATTTAATTATTGACACATTTATTAAAAAAAATCTTTGCGCAGATGTTAGAGCCATAGAAACATACTGCGCAACAAGTAAAGTTGTTAACATTCAGGAACAAAGGTTCCAGGATGGGATCCTGTGGAGGTTCATGTACAGGAATTTTTATTTAAAAATTTGTTTTAATCTTTCAGACAACGGAACCTGTAAAGGAACCTTAGGTAACTAATGTAAGAACCTCTAGGAAACCTTTAAGGATCCTGTACAGTAATTTTTAGCTGGGTATTAATACATTATCTGGTAGAAAGAAAATGAATTCGAACGCCGCATACGTATTTTCGGAATAGTCATTGTCACACGCCATTTTCTTAGTCGTTCTAAGTGTGTAAAAAATTTTCATACTTCTTCTGTTTCTGTTTTCATTGTTTATTTATCTAAAAATGAATGAAAATAATTTAAATACAACTCCATTCTGCCGTACAGATTAAAAAGATCGGAAGTGACATTAGATCTGAACATTTTACTTTTTATTATGCAAAAAAAGTTATTTTTTAAATAATTTCTATTGTAAAATGGACATACGGGTTCCTAGTAGTGATAAATACAGACAAAAAGAAGCAAAAAGTCGCTTATGTTTTATTTCTTTGTAAACTGTCTCGAGGGCAACCGTACCGTCCAGAGAAAAAAGATACATAAGTTCCCTATGTATTCTATTCATTAAATAAAAAAATTAACGATTTAATGAAAAGATTAAAATGAGAACAGTAGGAGTAAAGAATACATTTTTATAATTGAGCTTAACGAGATTTTATTAATCAAATAACTGAAATTGCAATTGTCGATTGCTGTTAAATTAATGCAAAAGTGTTTTTGTTGGAATATAATATCTTAATAAATATTAAGTAGGACAAACAATTCGTACTTTTTAACTGACAAAACGAGTATTCATTATTAAAACTAGAATTACATTTGTTGATTGCTGTTGAATTATTACAAGAATTTTTCATAGTGGAAAATAGTCTCTTAATAAATTTTTAATATCATAAAAAATTTGCATTTTTAGATTACTTAATGAGTATTTATTATTAAGGCTTGACTCACATTTGTTTATTGCTGTTTAATTATGCCAGCAAACTGTATATTGGAAAATAGTCTTCTTATAAATATTTAGTAGGACAAACAATTGGCATTTTTAAAATACTAACACGCATTTTCACAGTTGATGTTACTTACATTAATTAATTATTTATTAATTTTTTGTAAATTTTTTATATTTTTTGATTTTGGGACAGTTTAAATCGTAGCAGCACAATAACACATTTGCTAGACAGACACAGTAACGCAGAGTTTGCGCAGTAAGACAATTGCTTCTTTTAGTTTGTATGCTTAACTCACGCCTAAGGTATTCTACCGAGGAAGAAAATACTTAAGCGACACT